TATTAATCCATGATTGCAGCTCTGGGCATATTTATTTAGCTCTAAAGCAGTGGAACAAATTCAAAATGCATTACATATGGAATCAGGGAGTCCAAGAAGGGGACAGTGTTGGCTAGGTTTTAGGAAAGCTGGAATGTTCTTAGTTCATTTTCATTTAAAAATATTTGAATCTCTTGTCTCAGGACACTTTTTTTTTGAAATGCACAAATTATTGCATGCATCTCACACACAAACGCACACACGAAGACACAGCCAGACGGCTCCGAGGATGAATGACAGTGCTGGTATTAAGAGCCCAATTTTGTTTCTGTTTTTCAAAGCACTGTCCAGAGGTTTTATTGCATAATTCAACAAAGCTTCTTCTGAGTTACCTGTTGCAAAAAGGAATTTCCTGGGATCCTAGAAAACAGAGACAGACACAAACAGTATGAATGATTTAGCAAGGCAGGAATAAGTCCATCAGCATTCTCAGCCAGAGGCATGTTTCTGGAAATGCTGAGCTTGACTTTAAACAAGCTGTCTAAATCATACAGTATCTCTTATCTGAACCTTTTTCAAATGTTGCCCAAAAATTGCAGGGGATGGAGTAGACATATCCTAGGCAATTAAGAGTGAAAATGGAAGAGGAACTCTAAAAAGAAAAATTGGACCCCCTAAATATGTATCCAAACTAGAATACATTTGTGCATGGGGTTTTTTTTGGGGGGGGGAAGAATGACGATGAGGTTCTCAACATAAGCAAAAATATTAAAAAATGTAATTTAAAGTCAAGGTGTGCACCCATGATATGTACATTTAGGGAACATTGCCTAGGCCAGACATATCAAACACAACGCCCAGGGGCCGGATGCGGCCCGCAAAGTGGTTTCATGTGGCCCGCGAAGCCATCCTGGAAGCAGTGAGGGAACGGTCCCCACTGCCTTGGCCCTGGCCGGACAGCCGGGAACCAATGTACAATTTTGTGGTGGCCATCTATGCTGAAACGCATTCAGTCTCCCTCTGACTTTGCCCTGGTACCCATCATGAACAACCTGGCTAAGGAGAGCAAGCACAGCAGTAGCAGCCTTGAGGAGGAGGTAAGTGCAGCTGGGCGCCCCCTTGGGGAAGTGGGGCTGGGTTTGGTGCCACGGGTGCTCGAGGGCCAGGCTGGGCATTTGACCTCTGCTGCCCAGGGTTCCGGGCAGCCTGCACCACCATCCAGCCCCCCGCCCCACATGGCCTGAGAGGAACAGTGAGGCTCCTCCAGTGGACCATGCCTTGGCACTTGCCCTGGTCCCACCCCCTTCTGCCAGAGACCCTCAGATCTGTCCCACTCCTGCCCAGGCCCCCCACAGGCATCCTTGACGCAAACGATGTAGATCTGGCCACGCCCACCCAGGCCACACCCACTCCCTCCATGCTCACCCAGTAGGCCGCACCCACCCTGGCCACACCCACCTGGCCCCCCAAGGGCAACTGCAATGCTGATGCGGCCCTCAATGAAATTGAGTTTGACACCCCTGGCCTAGGCTTTAAACTGGAATTGTAAGGATTTGCCGATGGGAAGCCTTGTTATCTGAAAGTGCCCTCTAAAAAAAGCCAATATTGAGGATAATGTTTAACCTGAGAATAAGAATCACAACTGGGCAACCCGCTATTAGAAGTGAACACACTCATCTTTCTCCCTGACCTTCGTGGAAGTCTTCTCCAAGTCAGTGTCCCCCAGAAGAATGGATACTAGAGCTCCTCAATGTCTAATAAATATGGTATTTGTTGAGAATCCTGGCAGTTTAGCTCCAAGTTATCTGGATTGTAGAAGCTTACTACAGGCCTCTCACTGCCTGGCTGTCAAAGGTCACCCAAGAAACAACAATTTTAAGGAAAAAAGAAATCAGATATTGGCCTTCTCACTTCACCACGGTAGCTGGCTGCATTGAGCGCGAGGAACTCTTCGCTGTAATTCATAGAGAAGTTCAAAGCGTTCACCAAGTGGGCGGCAACATGGATCACTAAAACAGAACGAAGAGCTCATTTCACCAAAATACAAAGTGGAGATCTTTTCTAGCAAAAAAAACTGCCCCTAGGAACATATGGGATTCCCTTAACGACTGCAGTGTTCGCTTAATGAACATTGCATTCACTTGACAAAAAGTAGTAGTAAAATCCGGTCTGGTCACATAGGTACCTTGAATTATAATCGTTATGACTTAACGATGGAAATTCCCAGATCCATTACGGTCGTAAGTCAAGGACTACTGAAGTAGAAAAAGCAGCCTTTTCAAAGAAGGTCTAAGCATGGATTTGTCTAAGCATGGATTCCCAGACAGCCATCTTATTCTTTCTTCAACGTAAGCCACTTTATAGTATTGCTTTTCCAAAAAGCACCACTACAGTTTCATTCTGTGGAGAAAGCTCTTCCTGAATCCCAGAGCCTGTAAGCAATCCCCATTCCCTCTTCAGTGCATTGTAAAAATTGTATTTTGACCCAATGGGGGGTCAAAACAGTAAACCCGGTGGTGTTTTGTGAAAGTTGCTATTGTGTTTCAAACCAAGCATGGGCTGATACTTGCAGGACAAGAAGCCTTGGTAAGGCCACACTTGGAATACTGCATCCAGTTTTGGTCACCACGATGTAAAAAAAGATGCTGAGACTCTAGAAAGAGTACAGAGAAGAGCAACAAAGATGATTAGGGGACTGGAGGCCAAAGCATATAAGGAACGGTTGTTGGAATTGGGTATGTCTAGTTTAACGAAGAGAAGAACGAGGGGGGACATGATAGCAGTTTTCCAATATCTCAGGGGCTGCCCCAAAGAAGAGGGAGTCAAGCTATTGTCCAAAGCACCTGAAGGCAGGACAAGAAGCAACGGGTGGAAACTAATCAAGGAGAGAACTAAGGAGAAACTTCCTGACAGTTAGAACAATTAACCAGTGGAACAACCTGCCTCCAGAAGCGGTGAATGCTCCAACACTGGAAGTTTTTAAGAAGAGACTGGACAGCCATTTGTCCGAAATGGTATAGGGTTTCCTGCCTGAGCAGGGGGTTGGACTAGATGACCTCCAAGGTCCCAACTTTTTATTATTATTATTATTATTATTATTGTTGTTGTTGTTGTTGTTATTATTACTACTATTACTATTATGAGGATGAGGATGAAGCAATGGATGGAAACTAATCAAGGAAAGACCCAACCTAAAACTAAGGAGAAATTTCCTGACAGTGAGAACAATAAACGAGTGGAATGAGTTGCCTGCAGAAGTTGTGGGTGTCCCATCACTGGAGATTTTAAAGAAGAGACTGGACAACCATTTGTCTGAAATGGGTTTCCTGCTTGAGCAGGGGGTTGGACTAGAAGACCTCCAAGGTCCCTTCCAACTCTGTTTTTCTGTTATTTTTAGTCACATTCCTTGCCCCTCTCCCTCTCTCTCTCTCTTTCTCTCTCTTTTACCCTTTGGAGTAATCCAGCTGATTTTCAGGACTCAGTTTGAAATCCTATTTTTGCAAGCATTTGCCTTGACCTCTCAAAGGGTCTTCACACAGTTTTGTGTGAAATGTACCGAGGGTCCAATTAATTTTGGATATCTTTCTCTTCGCCTGTTTCTAGGTGGCCTGGTACTCAAGGGTATTTTAACTGAATATCCCTGTTCAGTTCAAACTGGAAAGCTGGAGAACAGAGGATAACCTGTGTGTACTGAGTTTTCAAGTGAGGTCTTTGGGGTCCCTATTAGTCAGAAACTGGGATTATTGTATAAATGTTTCTTTTCGTTGTAGTCATCTGAATTCACCTCTTATCTAAAATGACACTATATTTTGTGCATCTAAAACTCTCCAAAAAGAAATTACAAACATCTGCTAGCTATTTCTATGGTTCCTACCTTTAAAGTAACTATTAATTCTTCCATTTTCATCTCTCTTTTACCATCAAGCTTACAATATTTGGGTAATATCCATTTTGTAATAGTCTGAACAGCTATTGTTCAGATAGATTTCCCCTTTTTCAAAGCACAACGAATAGCCTAGAATAGTCCCTGCTGAATTTCAGGAAAATATTCTTTCCTTGATGTGTTCCAATAGATCAGGGGTCCCCAACCGGGGGTGCAAGCACCCCCTGGGGGGTACGAGACTATATCCCAAGGGGTGCAAAAACTTGAGTTTAGAAGTTTCAAAATTATAGTGTATATGCATAATTTGTTTTGAACTTTTGTAAGGGTGTGCAAGAATATATCAGAAGCGTTTTAGGGGTGCGGGGTATAGAAAAGGTTAGGAACCACTGCAATAAATGGACATTTCAATGTTCATGTGAATGAGGTTTGATAGCAAAAAGAAGACTTCAGTAATGATTACTTAATCTTTTTGAAAGGATGGAAGGATGGATGGATGGATGGATGGACGGATGGATGATGTGCCAAAAAAGATGTTGAGACTATAGAAAAGAGTGCAGAGAAGAACAACAAAGATGATTACGGATCTGCAGGCTAGAACATATGATGAACAGTGCAGGAATTGGGTATGTCTAGTCTAACAAAGAGAAGGATTAGGGGTAACATGATATTTCAATATTTGAGAGGCTGTCACAAAGTAGAGGGGGGGG